TGTCGGTCTTTCTTTCAAGAAGTATCTTCTGTTCTTCTAGCCACTCCAGGCTGGTCTGCTTGTCCTTTCAAGTGGAAATTTCCCACCTCTGAAGATTCTGGATGCTGTTCAGGATTCTACCTATGGCCTTACGTAATGCAGAGGCTCCGCAGGAAGCTGCCTTCACAATCCCATTCTCTTTTACTTCCACTCTCCATGAACTCTTTGAAGAGCCCCCATGTATGCTGTTGTTAACTATCACCGAGTTGATCCTGACTCCTCATGGTGACCCATGCACAACGGAATGAAACGCTGCCGGACCCTGTGCCAGCCTCATGATTGGTTGCAGATCACAGGGCTCTTATCAGCTGATTATCAGAACCCAACTGCCAGGCCTTTCTCCCTCTAAGAGATGCTGCTGTTAATTGCCATTCTGTCAATCCTAACCCACGGCGACCCATGTGTGCAGAGTAGAGCTGTTGTTCCATACGGTTTTCAAGACTGTGACCTTTTAGAAGCATATCACCAGGCCTGTCTTCTGAGGTGCCTCTGAATAGATTTGAACTGCCAACCTTTGTTGAGCACTTAACTGTTTGTGCCACCCAAGGACTCTTATGATAACATGTTATTGTTAGGTGCTGTTGAATTGGTTCCGATTAATTGTGACCCTATCTGTTCTCTGTGGCAAACAAAACTTTCTAGGCCTCTTGTACCCTAATCCCTTATACTTGCTCCCAGCAAAAGTATCATTTTTAAGTGATTTAAGTTTTCTAATTCTATACTTACAGTTAAGGCTATAATTGCTAAGTCCTTCCTGTCTTTAATCCTCATTGACCTAAGACAAGGAATGGTGTGTCTGTCAGCAGGAGAGAGCTGCTGGCCCTTCAGAGCAGCAGTGCCCAGGAAAGGCCAGCCAAACATTGGGCAAACACCAGGAAGCTTGAGAGAACACAGCTTGTGCTTACACTGTATTCTAGATAACTTTGAACATTGAGGATCCATGTAACGTGTAGAGCCGATTAAGCTATGATTCTCAGTGCCTTTACTCTGAGGATAAAGAGGTTTCCAGGTACCCACCACTGCTGGAACTGAGTGTATAACCACAAAGTAATGCCCACCCTCTGAACAAAGTTCTCTCAGGAATTGGGAGATTTCCCTCCTACTCTAATTACCTCAGGGAAAAGAAGTATAGGGGTTGGCTACTAGCTACAGGAACTGTACACCAATCCCTCTCAAAGCTTTCACTTCTAGCCCAGCCCTTAGGAAGTATAAGGTGACATCTAAATCTCCTCAGGTTACTTGGGTTTCTAAAAGGATGCTTTCTCCTTCACCCAGAGAATGGGTTTTCTTTCCAGAGCTGCTATTAATTTTTTGGTTTAAGAATAAACAACAATTTCTTCTAAATAAAATTTACTGGCACACCTTTCTACCACTACTTTACTTAGCATTTCTGATTATACTGTCCTGCCACTTTTTCTTTCTTTCTTTTAAATAGCAACCCACACTCTTACATGTCCATTGGCCAGTGGGATTTTTTCTGTGAGATCAACACCATCAGCATAAGCTTGGAGTAACCCGAAAACATCTCTTGTTTTGACGGTCTCACAAAGACTGTGAAGTTTGGCTGCATTATCCATGTGTTTTTTCCTTGCATATTTCCTCTCAATGTACTTGGCAGTAATGTAGTCTTTTCTTGCATTCCTGAAATCAAGCATAATTGTCCTGTAAATCATTAAGGGCCTCTACTATGCAAACACATCCAATATCCACTCATGTACAACTACTTAAAAACAATCCTGCCCTGACATAGTCCACAAAGACAACGTCCTATATCCTAATTTGAGGCGACCTTAAAAGCTCTTGAGTGGCCACCAAGGGACAACTATTAGTTTCTCCTTGTCCAGACAACAGAAGAGTGATAGTAATTGAAGAGGCTTAAAATCAATTCATCTAAAACATCAATCTCCATGGACATGAGACCAGAAGAACTATATGGGGCCTGGCTACCACTCCCAGCTGCTCTGAAATGGATCACATTAGAAGGTCCCAGATAGAGTGGGAGAAAATATGGACCCAAACTCAAAATCGTAATGAAGACCAGGCTTATTGGTCAGATAGAGAATATGACCCTTTGTCACCCTTCACTCTGGAGCTGAACTCACCCCGTGGCTCAGTTTTCAGCCAATCAATAGATAGGCATACAGCAGGGCCAACAATTCTACCCAACCATTTGAGATCAAAAGGGTAGCATTAACTGAATGACAAAATTCAGAAGGGTTGGGAAAGAAGGAGGAATGGAAACATGAAACACAAGGAGGAAGTGGGATAGATGATGTTACACTGAGAGTATCACTGAGATGAAATAAAGTCTATGATTAGTTGCTTATAAAATTGATAATCTGGCTCTGTAAACCTTTACTCAATCACAATAAAAAGTTGTTAAAAAAAAAACCAAAAACACTGTCCCTTGTAGGTATCATCATACTTCACTTTTGTTGGGCTTATCTATACCAGAAAAGCACAAAGTGAGAAGCAAGCCACTGTGTAGTTCTACTACAACAGCTGTGTTTACTGTGATCCTCTGAACAATTTTCAAGAACTGTAAAATCCTTGAATGCCTTATCCAGCACAAGAGGCATCAAGGTCTGGTGCAAGCGGGCACTCTATCTAGGTTTTAGGGATAATAGCTGGACGATTGGTTCACAGCATAAAGTTCACCTTCTCTTGCCTGTCTCTCTAGCTTACTGCTTCCCTTCCCCTGATTCCTCTAGAAGTTCTGAGCTCCAACCTCATACATGTCTCAGATTCCCCTACTTGGCATGATTTTATGTGCCTTCTCTCCTAGGTGATCCGCAATCGTTCAACAGTCATGGCCCCCAGGAAGGCTGGGTGTCCTTCTTCTGCACTCCAGCCCACCCTGGCCTGACTACTGTGACAACATTTACATTGGTGGCAATTTGCCTGTCTCTGCCCAACTGGGTTAGAAGCTGCTCAAGAGCAAAGACTATGTCTTCTCTTTTGTAGGCACCATGCCTGGTATAGAAACAAGACTACGGTGGGGTCAAAGAAGCCTGGGTTCAAATTCCACTTCTCCACATACTAGTGGCTTGACCTTGGGCAAGTTATATTTCTATGCCTCAAATTTTCTCTATATGAAACTGTGCACTATACAGACCTCATGGTGGACATATGAAAGGTGTATTAGCTAACACGTCTGCTCAATATATTGTTATTAAGCACCATCAAGGCAGTTTTGACTCATAGCAAGCCAGAATAGGAGGAGTGGTTGGTGAGTTTCAAGCACCTACCTTGTGATTAAAACAAGCTTGCGTCCAGTGTTTATCCTTTAGCACCACACCAGGGCTCCGTTATATCCTTAAAACCAAACCCAAACCTATTGCCATCTAGTCAGTTCTGATTCAAAGCAAGCCTGTATAGGGTTTCTGATACTGTGTATCTTTACAGGAGGAGACAGACTCGTCTTTCTCCTGAGGAGGGAGTGGTGGGTTTGAACCACTGACTTTGTGGTTAGCGGTCCAGTGCTTATGCTGATGGGTTTATTCTACCACTAGGGCTCCTTAGTAGGTCCTTAGGACCTTAGAAAGTGCTTATGCAATTAAAAGAGGAAAGGTCAGGAGAACTCTAAGCATTTTATTATTCCAATCATTCCAATAACCTTAACAAACACAACAACAAAAATCTAGATAAGATTTTTTGAGAGATAAAACAAATGCTAAGGTACCTGTGATAATCATGTCAGAAATACCAAGGATACTTCAAATATTCATCACCTAATGAATGATCAACAAATGTGATTTTATTCATATAACAAAATATTATTTGTCAATAAAAATAAATTGTCGTTGTTAAAGTGCTGCCGAGTCATTTCTGACCCATAGCGACCCTCTATAGGGTTTCCAAGGAGCAGCTGGTGAGCTTGAACCACCTACCTTGTAATTCAAACGGCTTTGTGGTCTGGCGCATTAACTCACAGCGCCATACCAGGACTCCGAAAAATGAATGAAGTACTGATAAATGTTAACAACATGGATGAACATTGAAAACATTATCACAAAAGACCACATATTGTAGAATTTAATTTACATGCAATGCCCAGAATAACAGTGAAATCTCTAGAGAGACAGATAGTGTTTCCTAAGGTTGGGAAGACCTGCTACAGGATGCAGATTTCTTTTTGGGATAATGACCTACAACCTCTTAAATATACTTAAAGACCACTGAATCATACATTCTAAATGGGTAAATTATATGACATATGAATTATATTTTAATAAAGCAGTTTAAGCAACAATAAAAGTGAGGGGAAACCTAAGTCTCCTGACAATATAAAAACTTGATTTTAGTCCATAAACTGACCAGAGACATAGGGAGAAATATTGTAACAGAATTTGATCCTTTTGTTTTCCCTTGCCCATTCTTTCTGGAAGGTGTGAAATGCATGGAAATTTAAAAAGACAGCCACGGGAGGTTGAACTCAAAGAAAGGGCCTGCGTTATTCACAGTTTGATGATCAGCTATGAGAAAGACCAGAGTCAGAGTCATTTAAGGGCCTAGGCTTTGGGGTCAGGTTCTCAGATCTCAAGTTGGGTTCTACCACTAACCATCTGTGTGACCTCAGGCAAGCTACGTAAACTCTGTCAGAGATTTCTACACAATAAAAATAAGGACAACGTTGACTTCATGGCTTTTGCAGGATTCAATGAGATAACATATTTAAGCACATGGGACAGCATTTTAGCGATGCCAGCTACAACAGTGCTGAATGAAAAAGGCACAAACAGTGGCATGGGGCATATGGCTAGTTCTCTGAAACTTAGGAACTGCTAAGTTTCACCTTGCTGCACTGACTACTGCTCAGTTACTATGCCTCTTGGCTCCAACACGGTGAGGGTCCCGCCTAAAAGGCACCAGGTGAACTCCAGGCTCACAAGGAGGACAAAGACTTCAGCCTTGGAGGGAGAAAAGAGACAAGACCTCTCTGGCTCACCCTTCAAAGGCCTGCAGAGCAGTGTGTTTCTCTAAGGGTGGGCCTCAAACCACCTACTTTTGGATACCCTAGGGCCTTGTCCTGGTGGCACAGTAGGATGAGCAGACTGGGCCGCAAGTTCGGTTTGAACTGCAAGGCTGACAGTTTAAAATCATCAGCTGTTCCTTGGAAACCTTATACAGGGTCACTATGAGTCAGAACTGACTCAAAAGCACTTAACAACAACAGTTCCACTGAATTAGATTCTCTAGAGGTGGAGGCAGAGAATCTGGTGATCTTGACTCTAACATTTAAGGCCTTCTTGGGAAAATACCAAGAAGGAATAATCAATTATGCTAGTATATAATACACACACACACATATACATATATATAAAAACTGGAGTCCTGGTGTGGTGCTATGGGTTAATGCACTGGACTGCAAGCAAGGTCCCTTTGAACCATAAGGTGGGTGGTTCAAGCTCACCAACTGCTTCTCAGAAATGCTATACAGGGTCACTATGGGTAGGAACTGACTCGACAGCATTTAACAACAACAATATATATATAAACTGGCACTCAGGGAATTCTGAGAGAATACAACTATTTCTTAGGAGCTCTGGTAGCGTAGTGGTTACGAATCGGGCTGTGAACCTTAAGGTCAGCGGTTCGAAACTACCAGCCGCTCCGTGGGAGAAAGATGAGGCTTTCTACTCCCGTAAAGATTTAAACCCTCGGAAACCCTGTACAGGGTCGCTATGGGTCGGAACCGACTCGATGGCACTTAACAACAACAACAACATTTCTATGTTTTTCTCTTCTGAATTTCTGATGTCCTGCTCTCCCCAGCCTACTCCAAGGTAAAGGCCTGGGTGCTGGGGGCAGTCACGTACTTTTCCATACATGCCCAAATTAACTTAGGCAACTGTGTCAAGCCAGAGGCCTCTTTCAGGAGTGCCTGAGTCCCCTGATAAATGAACTACAGCAAGAGTGCTGGGCGTTGGAGGCCTTGGAGGCCCAGGAAGATGGGTCAGGATTGGATGAGGGGGGCATTAGCATCACAATGCCCAGACCACACTAAAAATGTGAGTGTGTCTTCCCAGCATTTGTCAGGACCCATAATTACTGCCCTTGTTGTTGTTGTTGTTAAGTGCTGTACAGGTTTTCCAAGGAGCAGCTGGTGAGCTTGAATTGCCAATCTTACAGTTCAAATGGCTTTGCAGTCTGGCGCATTAACCCACAGCGCCACACCAGGACTCCAATTACTGCCCTTAGCAACATGTTTTTCCTGAAAAGACCATGATTCTTGAGACCAGCTTGGCTGGCTGAAAAGGAAAATGCATTCAGAAGATCTAGCCATTTCAACATGCAACTTGGACTTCAAAGCTGAGGAAGAACTTCCAGGAACACTTTGTGAATGTGTTTTGGTACTTTAATCATGATGCATCCATCTCCACTCTAACTCCAGTCTCATCTCAAACCCATCCTTCAAGGTCTAGAACCTTCTTCAGCTCCCCACTGTGATTTGTCTTGCTGGCATGGCATGGGACTGTAGGCTGCATGGATGAAGTGCTGTTGTTGATGGGCACCCTTCTCACACATCTATAGTTCTTATAAGTTTATGAGTTATGTTGAAATCTGTTATCTCATTTGATCTTCATAATTATGCTATGAACTTTTTTTTTTTTTTAATTTCTACATTTGCAGATAAGTAAAGTGGTATCCACAGAGGCAAGGCTGAATTTTCTTTCTTCAAGCAGCTGAGAAGCTCCTAAAGGGCCCACCCTTTTTTGTATTGATCAGGGTATGCCTCTGAGAGCCTTCTAGCAGCGCTGTCATACTCATGGTAACTGCTCAGTGGTTTGATAATGTGTCATATCTGGCAACCTGTTTCATGACTTAAACTCTATGGGTCTCTTGTGACAGAATGGAGAGTTGTCAAGGTTTATGCAGCTTCAATAATCACTGTGGGGCAATTATTACTATGACCCTTACAAGGAGAGGGTAAAAAGATAAACTAGATTCCCTTTATTTATTCTTTTGATGTATTATTCATCTGCCCAGGGTTCTGAGCTCCCTGAAGATAGTCATTATACATAGGCAGGCATGCTTTACTAAATACGCATGCTCAGCCCTGGTTTCTTGAAGGAATTCTACTCTGCCAGTGGACATCTCTCCTTCTTTCTTTTTAAAAAGGCGTAGGCTGTTGGAGAAAAACAAAGAACTTAACACATTTGGCATGTGTTCAGAAGGAGGGGCTTCTCTTACACTTCTGAACAACAGGATATGTACAACAGTCCCAAATCATAGAAGAGAAACTGTTCTGGACTCTGTCAGCAGATACAAATCTGGCTCTTTTGTGCATGTGTGCGCCCCTCCCACCTAGTTCACATACTCTCCATATCCCCAAAATCCCTCCGAGGCGTCCCATGCCACTAGAGGGTGTCTTAGCCTTTCTCTTCACTAGACTTCAGCAGATGATGGCTAGATAGAAATGAAGCATTCCTTTCCACCTGGGAGTAAAACATCAGCTTGTTCAAGCAGGCACAGAGCTAGCAGTGGATGGTTGACTTGTTGATCCATTAAGTACTTACTAAACCACCATAAGCACCAACAAGTCATAGTGGGAAATACACAAGTAAGATGCCACTTACCAGAAAAAGGTACATGAATACTTAGACATAAAGTGAAACTAAATGTCTTAAAATGGAGCCTAGTTAATTTCCCCTGAAGAGGTATGGAAAGCTTCATAGAGTAGGGGATATTTTACCATCACACTAGTGACCTGCCCTCATTCTGAAAAACAAGAAGAAGAAAAAATGGGAGGAGTGGGTAGAGTCTCAAAACAGATTTGTTGTTGGTGTTAGGTGCCACCCAGTCAGTGCCGACTCATAGCGATCTTATGCACAGCAGAACAAAACACTACCCAATCCTGGGCCAACCTCACAATTGTTGCCACGCTTGAGCCCACTGATGCAGCCATATTGCCAGTCCATCTCGTTGGGTTCTTCCTCTTTTTCTCTGACCCTCCACCTTACCAAACATGATATCCTTCTCCAGCGATTGGTCCCTCCTGACAATATGTCCAAAGTATGAACTTTGGCCATCTTGGCCTCCAAAGAGCACTCTGGCTGCACTTTTTCCAACAGAGCGTTTATATTCAAGAGTTCTGAAGGACTTTGCGCCTGATCAACAGAATGGCATTGCAACTACCCCAACTGACACTGAATGGGGTCCTGCTTGAGCTTCAGATCTCCTGGGAAGCTTGGGTCTTTGTTACACCTGGAGACCCTCCCCCACTGAAATTCCAGGTTTCAGGAAAATCTCCATAACCCCGCCCATTGTAAACTGGCCAGAATTATACCCAGACCACATGGACTATAAATACTCCAGTCTGTAAGGGAACAAACAGGCTCTTAGTCTCCTTTGGTGATGTAAGAGTACTCCCTCCCAGGTTTACTCTTAATAAACCTGCCTGCTGTTGAAGCCAAAACTCTCTCCTTCGTCTCTTTCTTTTCCTTACAAGTTCCAAGTGGGTAGTGTTAAAATTTTTAGTCATCTGACACAAGGACAAATAAATTCTCTGTTTTTATATGCCTAGTACCTAGAAAAAATTATCAACCACTTTGTTCAAAACTGAATAATATTGCAGCATTTTGGGAGACTGGTTCTTTTAACATGAAATGAGCTGGTGTCAATTAAATATCAGTAAAAAAAAATAACTTCAAATAAGTTGGAACCGACTCCATGGCACATAACCAACACCACTACCACCACCACCACCACCACTGGCGTCCTGGTGTGGTGCTGTGGGTTAATGTGCCAGACTGCAAGCCATCTGAACTACGAAGTCAGTGGTTCAAGTTCACTAGTCACTCCTCAGAAACCCTATACAGGGTCACTTTGGGTCAGAATTGACTCCACAGCACTTTAACAACAACAACTGGACCAAGAGATTTCCTACGAAACAGGACTATCGACCTCAGGAAGTGTTAATTCACCTCTGGACAACTCTCCAGTTGAAAGCTACATTGAGAGGGCCCTAATTTTTCAAGGGTACCTCTTGTTGCCCACACTCTTGCTGAGCAAGCAGAGCCTGACACCAAGTACCAGACCTAAGCACTACATGTTTTACCTACTGCATCTCACCAGTTTTTCCAGCGATTCCGTGAGGTTGACAGAATCTCTCTTTTTGTATCATAGAAAACTTGGGCTTGGAAAAGCTAAATAACTTGCCCAGGTCCTATGGCTCAGGTAAGGACTGAGAAATGTATGTCCACACTAACGCTGCAGGTCTGAATAAGAATATAGTTTAGAAATCTAAGAAACTTGGATCTGTACTGAGAAAGGACAAGAACTTTGTAAGCCTCATGCTTGATATCAAAAACCACACATTATCCACTCTCAAGGAAATGCTACACCACGAATACTTGTTACAGGATTCAAACATAAACTGACTTTCATCCAACACCAACCAAAATGCTCCCCTAAGATACCCAATATTCTAGAGCAGTTATAATGGACATGGTTCCTATTCATCCCTGTGGACTGTGTAAGCTTTCTTGCTATTCAGTTAACATCACCAGAAAGCAAAAGAACTCAAGTCCTGCAACACCCTTCTCAGCTTCATGCCCTCATAAAATGATCACAAAAATCTATATTCTTTGCTTTTAAAGGGCCCATACACTACCATACCTTTTTTCTTTAATGTTTTATTGTGAATTATGTGATAGTTTACATGGGAGAACTTTAGTTTTACAGTCATCCTATCATAGATGGTTTCATTTCCACTACCAAACATTTTTGAAAACTACTCTAGCGACATCATTTCACCACCACTCATTTAATGTCCTGTAGCAGGACCCATGCCATTACAATGCAATAAAATGTTGGAATTTTATTTCAAAAAAATGCTGTCTCTGTAATGATTTCTTATGCTCTCTCTTATCATGTCCTTTTTTCATTTTCCCTTCTCCTTTCCTGCCAAAACCAGACTCAAATGCAGGTGCTGTCTATTCTAACTCATCTGGTGACCTCTTTCCTTCAGTGGGCCTCATTTTGCAAGGATTATAGCAGGTCAGCTACGCCCATAGCCCTTGCAGTCAGGCAGGCCATCCATTTTCAACTGTTGCTAAGTGCCATCGAGTTGGGATCTGACTCACAGCAATCCTGTACATGGTTTCCAAGGAGCAGCTGGTGAGTTAGAACTGCTGGCCTTAATGGCCCACATCAACATTGCAGTTTGCCGCATTAACTGGCAATGCCACACCAGAAGTCCATTTTCAATAGGGCTGCCGAATAAAGTGGGGCGGGGCATCCACTATCTAGACCAGTCCTCCCCATCCACCTTCTTCTCTAGACAAGTTGTGATCTGGGTGACTTAGTCTTAGATTGCTGAGACTGGTAGACACATTTATTGTTGTAAATAAGCTCTGCCTCAACGGGCAAGCTAGAATGAAGGAAAAACATTCATGATGAGGCACAAAAGCTTCTCAATCAAGTTTTGTATCAACGTAAAACAAACAACCCCCCTCTTTAAAGGAAACAACACATCTTACATTTTCACATTTGCAAGGACACACACACAGAGTATTATATGTAATCACCTATCTTTGACAATTAACCCTTTCAGTGGCTCAGAATTTATTCAGCGAGAACTAAGATGGGACAGTCCCTTAAGAGGATAAACTAGCAGAGGTTACAAGGCCTGTTAGTAGACACACGCTACATCACTACTTTTATGTACACAAAGCACCTGCCAAACCCTTCCATGAACCCTCTTCCTAAAAACAGAAACCCCACATTTGTATTTGCACACCCAAAATGATTCAACAAAAGAAAAACTGGACCAATCACATGTACTTAATGTTTCCTTGTCAATTGCAGAATTCTACTACCAAATCAGAATTCCTTAACTAGATTATAAAAAAATTAAAACCAATCAAACAAACAAAAGACCCCTAGAAATTAAAAAGTTCTGGCACTTGGATAGGCACACATAGTGATTAGGGGATAGGGAGAAAAAGAACAACATACAAGGAGACTAACACAGGCTGGTTTATTCTCTAATGCATGCCAATGAGTGATGTTCCCAAAACTTGTTCTTTCCCTGCTTCTGAAGCAAATCTTTGTTCAGAAAAAGAGAACAGTCAGTCTCTTACTCACATGTCACTGCCTGGATTGGGTTTGACCGAGTCCTCAACTGGTAGGCAACACTCCATAATCTCATTAAAGCCTGCATTCCCAATATTCTTGGCAAGCTGCAAAAACAAAAGTCTATTTCAGGGTACTCAATTATTAATACATTCTATTGCTACACATTACTCATACATCTGCTGATTTATTTAATGGCCACTAAGAAATAGAATAATAAAGTGGTTTGCTTTTAATGAAGACAGACAAAAGCCAAAGATACCTATTAACACTAATGATAAGAACTGGCATGCCTAACATAGAGGAAAGTCCTCACCTATAAGAGAGTGTCCTTAAAATACTTCCAAGATAAAGCACTGTGGCGCTGTAGGATAAGCACTGGACTGCTAACCATACAGCGGGTGGTTAACGTACCAGTTACTTCTTAGAAACTCTATACAGGGTTGCTATGAGTCACAATCAACTTGAAGACACTTAACAACAACATAGCCAGGGAGAAGCATCAGGATACTCTTAGCATGTAGTCCATCCTTACTTCCACAGTCCCCTCTACAGTTTTACTTAAACCAGCTATGAAGTAACTCTGACACATATAGTAGAAAGGACACTGGACAAAGAGTCAAAGACTCGGGTTCAAATCCTCATTCAGTTTATTGGCTGGGTAATCACAGTTTACTTTTCTGAGCTTCAGATTTTTCACTGGTAAAATGACATGATGCCTACACCTCACAAGGTTGAAATAATAATAAAATGGGATAATTCTTGTGAAAGTACTTTACACACTGGAGCACTAAAAAAGTAATATGTAAATTCCAGATGAAAGGTCTTCATTTGACAATCAACCTTTCAGACATGCTACTAATACAATTTAATTGAATACTTCCAGAATTCAGGCACTACACTAGATACGAAGATAAACGTCATGATTTATTTTGGTCAGGTAGTTGTCAATTTTTTGAGTTAATGAACAATAGAATGTACGAATGACTGGATGACTAGGCGCTCTTTAGGAGCAGGGATGTATTTATCTTATCCCCAACAGCCAGCTCAGCATCTAATATAGAGATCACATTCTAACTCACGTAGCATAGTGCTATGGAGAGAACAAATGCTATAATTTCCATGTTGAAAATTATATATTGTGGTAACTCAAGATAATTCTAATATCTCTACTCTCATTTAATTAAGGGTTGCTGTTGTTGTTGTTGTTAAGTGCCGTCGAGTCGGTTCCGACCCATAGCGACCCTGTACAGGGTTTCCGAGGGTGTAAATCTTTATGGGAGTAGAAAGCCTCATCTTTCTCGCGCGGAGCAGCTGGTAGTTTCGAACCGCTGACCTTAAGGTTCACAGCCCGATTCGTAACCACTACGCTACCAGAATGTCTCTTCTATTCCCATATGGGAAACCAGTTCAAGAAACAGTCAAAGGGACCTAGGTTAAATAAGGTAGAACTTCCTGGAGCAAGTAACATTAAACAGTGAAAAGGAAAAATGACGAATGTTGAGTATTTAGTTTAAACAAGGTGAAAGGAACATCTAGAATAGCTTATTTGGTGATGAGCCCACCAAAGTTTCCTAGGCGGTGGCTGTTAAGTGCTGTCAAGTCGGTTCCAACTATAGCAACCCTCTATAGGGTTTCTGAGGAATGGATGGTGAGTTTGGACCACCAACCTTGCAGTTCAAACCAATCTTGGGGTTCAGTGATTGTGTCCTACAGTGCTTCACCAGGGCTTCTAGGCGGTATACACTGACAAATACTAACCAATTCTCTTAACTAAAACCTGGTTTTTCAGTCCTAGCTCTGTGGCTTCAAGCCATCGCCAGGTAGCAAACACCCAGTCTGCCTCATTACAGTTTCCTCAGAGAAGAGGTAGTTCAAGCTAATGGTCAGGACAGTAGGCACATCACAAAGGTGATAAGAATCTGTCTACCATGAAGCTAATGCCCTGCAAAGGTTTCTCAGATAGCTGATGTCATGTCTACGTCTAAACCCTGATATTAGAGCCTCTGGCTATTAGGTTTAAGCACTAGTGCCCCTGTCTTTCAATATAACCTGGACACTGTCCCCTAGTCAGGCACAGTAACTGGATTTCAGGAGCGGAAGGATACACTATATAGCTCCCCCTCTGAGAGCTAGGGGCTACCATAGTGCCTGTGTTAAGCAGATGGGGAAGGGAAACAGAAAGAGGAAAAGTCCCTGGGAATTAGAAAGCTGCTTCCCTTCTGCTTGAACTTGGCTGGTTTCCCAGGGGACAGCTGGCCCTGGTAGTCACCACACCCATGTGTCACACACATCCAACGTCAGAGCAATGTGCCACCTAACAGTTTTGCCAAGTCCTAGTTTGCATGTCAGCCTGTAGAGAACCTCTTTGGAACCATTAACAAAATCAAACCATCTGCAGATGAAGGCCACAGAGTTCTATCAAGAAAATGTGGATCCCAGCATGCCAGGCAGGCAGAAGCCATGGAACTAGGAAGGTCAGGTTTGAACCAGACTCCCAGATATCACGTGCTTTTCACTTACCAAGGGGCCATCATCCAGGAGGAATTTGTGGGCTGTGCTGAGGTGGAAACTAAGCTAGATGCAGGATGAAAAGTCCAGTGTGCCTAAGTACTACATCATACTAGGCACTGGGTATGAGACATGGTCCCAGCTCTAAAACAACTCAGGCTAGTGAGAAAGAGAGGAATTAAGGAGAGAAAAAAGAAGAAGAATGGGATGAGGGCTGGAAAAGAAGTCTGTACTGAGCCCTACAAGAATGAGATGTCACGTCCAAGCATGCAACTTTAACATTTGCCTTGTATGGAGGTCATCTGTGTATATGTCACTCTCTATTGCTGGACAGCAAGCACCCTGTGGACAACAGGCACCATAGTTTATAACCCTAGTACTTTCCTGCGCAGCGTGCACTGAGCCAAAAAGAGGCCTAGGATTTTATCTAGAAATTGTTTTCAGAGTTTAAGGTGGAGAGACTTGCCTGTCCCCATTTTCATGTTTCCACATGGAGGGACATTAATTACTATAGCATTCTTAGCCCTCTCTGGTTTGTTCATTCTGGGGAAAGAAATGGGCAAGTAAGAGAAACAACTTCCCTGACTGTCTACCTTAGGAACAACTCTCCATTTACGGCCCCACCTCTTCCTGATTCTCAGATGCCCACAGGAAACAGCACATGGTCTCCTCCACACTTTTGTGTTACTGGGGTGGATCCCTATGTGCTGGTGGGCAAGTATGATCCTAAATTTCAGTAAGTAAGCACACTGTTACCGCACATGTGAGCCACATCAGCCAAGTCAGCTTTAATTTAGCAAAAAATCTGGTATTTGATCTCATCTGCTTAACTTGCCTATCTCCCAAAAACCTGTCGAGTTGATTCTGACTCATAGCGGCTTCATCTTCCAACTAGCTCCAAATTCATGTACGGAAATCAGTTGTCAGAGCCTAGGAGTAGTCCTGGATGTGCAGTGGTTAAACTGCTTGGCTGTTAGTTCGAACCCACCAGCCATTCCATGGGAGAAAGATGAGGCAGTCTACTTCTGTAAAGATTTGCAGCCTTGGAAATCCTGTTGGGCAGTGGCACTGTGCTCTAAAGGGTCACTATGAGATGGAATCGACTCATTGGCAATGGCTTTGGGTTAGACCCCATCAGGACAATGCCTGATACAGAATAGTTGTTCAATACATGGCAGCTGACATTAAATTGTTCCTGCTGTCCTAAACAATTGCTTTCAGCATCCTGAGTGTGACTTTATTTCAGTCCTAGATGAAACAACAGTTTTAATTTGTAAAAGCAATTTTTTGCTTTTTGAGGGCTTTTTTTTGCATGCTCTCTCTTTCAAAACTGCCATTAATAAATGACAGCTATTAACAACTACATCCAAAAGAAAGCAGGAAAAAGTCAAGAAAGAAAGAGACACATAGTGTGAGCTCCTCAGGTTCCCAAAACTCATTCTTCAAACTAGAGGGAAGAAAATTGTAAAATTATTGAACCATATTCAATTTTATAAGCTCAAGAGTCCCTTTATTAATTTCACTTCTGTCCCTAGTACCCATGATTCTAAGTTTTTCTATATGAACTGAAAATCAATGCTGAAATCAAGATCTTCTATGTTAAGGAGAAAAAGTATCTTTTGAAACTCTATGTATATTAGGAAGTTTTCTGAAAGTAGGGTTGCATCGAAATCTAAGGATATTAAACCATTGCATGCTGAAGTAGTAAAGGCTGTATTAACTCCCCAGAATTAACCAATTAATACTTCAGTTGTTTACATATGACTTCACTGAGTTAGTGATTCTAGAAACAGGTAAGTTGTTGTTGTGTGTCACCAAGCTGGTTCCGACTCATAGTGACCCAGTATAGGGTTTCAGAGGCTGTAAATCTTTTCGGAAGCAAAAAACCTCACCTTTCTCTCTCAAGAAACACACATACACACAGAGGTCAAGAGGAAGGGGAGGGAAGATTATAACCAGCCATTTTCACAAGATGCTGTTGAAATCCATTTAATTAATATGGAAAAAAAGCATGCTTTGAAATAAAAACAAATTAAAAAGGAAATGCAACAGTCACAGCATGCCATTCAGTCAAACGGTTTGAAAACCTGAGGCCAGAAAACAATTTACAGAATTAAGCAAAAGACTCTTATCATGAGGAATATGGTAAGGCCATATGGGAAAACAGAAGTGACATTTTATGGGATGAGCATCTGTCTAAGGACGCAATGCCAAATGTAAAATGAAAATGCAATCAATATGGGTCCTGATCATGTATCTGTTGTTTAAGGCCACTTTACTGATTTACTTGATAGACAGAAAGAAAGAAATAACCCTTACAAAGGCGGCCACCCACTGAGACCTGGAAAAGTTACTTTTTCAATCTGCCCTCTTTATCTCCCCAAACAGGGTACACTAAGAGGTCTAACATTTGCTGTACAAGAAAACACATGAACAAATTAACTAAAGACCCTGACATCATCACTACCTCATGAATCTGAAAGGCTTTGGTGTTTCAGTAAACTTCATAAACAGAGAAGACAAACAGAGTAGAAGGTGCGGAATCTCCCAGAATTTCATGCATTAGGACTTGAGGACCATTTTTCTAAAAGGATTTTGTTAGAATCTTCTTTAGGAGAAGATCATAACAATAACTAACACACTTCATACTTCTCACTATGTGCCAGACATAATTCTAAATGACACACAAAGACACGCATGAGTGCACATAGAGGCTTCAGGAAATCCTTTGTTTAGACATCTGATTGTCTAAGCAAAATAAAAGAAACAACCAGTTGCTTTAAAAAGGTTTGACATTTCTATGTGTGTGTGTGTGTGTGTGTGTGTGTGTGTGTGTTAACTGAATCTATTGCTTAACTTGTGAGATGAAAAGTAAGGATTTTGAACATAATGTCAATACCCACAGTCCCAACACACAGAAAATGGGGATTGGTTTGAGAAGTAGAGAGATGTCCACACTCTGGAAGCCACCAGAGAACCAGACAGACACGTTCAGGGGCAAACAGAGGGTGGGAAGTCAAACCCCACACAACTGGGAGTTTTCTACCCTTTTGTTTTTCTGATAGCCACTGTGGAAAAGAGATTTAGATAAGGCAAGTACTTAAAATTATGGCAGAAATTAGAGACTGAAAGTATCTGTAGATAGTAAACAGGTTCTACCTGATATAGCTGTAATAGTTGAGAGTTGGCCAAATTTTAGACATTCTATGAGAATACATGGACAGAAGGTGGGGGAGAGATCGATAGTGAGAGTTGAACCAGGAATTAGAAGTCACTATCTCATCACTTCACCAAGAAGGAAATAACATATTCTTTTCAACCCTCGTTGATAAGTTTTTCTCCTTTGTAGACAATAGAATCTCATGAATATCATTTACTAGATTTCTAAGACACACGAAAGCAGTCATAACAGGTATGTGTTGAGGTCAGGCTCCTATTGACTCACAAGAGACAATGCTAAATAAATTTTCAGGAATTTTTGGAGTCAGCTGTCAAACACAGCCATTTTAACAGTCATAAAAAATTACATTATACAAACTCATAATTAAATGAATTATGCTAAAAACGAAGATAGTAAATACTTAAAATGCTATCATATATCCTTATTATTTTACATTTTACTATCGTCTATGGAGTCCTGGTGTGGCTCTGTGGAATAATCACTGGACTGCTAACCATAAGGTTAGTGGTTCAAACCCACAGAACACTTTGGAAACCCTATACAGGGTCACTATGAGTCAAAACCAACTAAGTGGCAGTTAACAACAACAGCAATGCTCTTGAACTTACTTATATTGATCAGACTGCCATGTGAACACATTAGTTAAAGGTGTTCTATGAAACATCTCTTTTCAACTCTACATTCAGCAATGCTACATTGGTAACTTGAAATTAGCCATGGTGTGAGAATTTACACAATAGAACTAGGCAAATTACAAATCAGGACTTCTTCCCCCACCCCCACCCCCCACCCCCCAGAGTTTGTAGTTAAGCATTTGCCAGCAAACCACTGGACTGGGGAGAGTGTGGGAGGGGCAGAGACAGTAGTGACATTTAAATGTTTATCATCTGGCAAGACAACCCACCACAAATGCCAGTTGATGCCCCAGGATCATCAAAAATTAAGTGCTCTGGAGTCAGATTATAGGAGGTCTACACTCCAGATTTGACACTTCAGTAGCTATATAACCTTCGGCATATTCTAAACATTCTAAAATTGTTTTCTCATTTGCAAATTGGGGATAATGCATGAATTACTGTATCAAAGACTCAAAGGCACTCAACAACAACAACATACCAAAGTCAGAGTTGTTGTGAAGAGTAAGTGAAGTAATACATACAAAGTACTAAGCAAAGTGACTAGAATAAAAACCCAATTATTTCATCACAAATCAATGTTTTCTGGTATTTTAAGAAAATCAGTAAAAGTAGCAACTGCCACAGTCCCCCAGTATTAAATATTTCTTTGAAAATATTCTGGACAATCTTACATCTACATCATCATCCATTACCAAATGTGGGTTATATGCATCTTACATTGGCAATTAACCACACTATTTAACCAGCTATGTTACTGTTGTTAGGTGCCGTCAAGTCAGTTCCGACCCATAGCAACCCTGTATAGGGTTACCCAAGAGCCACTGGTGAGCTTCAACCACTGACCTTGTGGTTCAAATAGATTTTTCAGTCCAACACATTAACCCTGTTTTTTCAAGGAGCTCTGGTAGTGTAGTGGTTACGAATCGGGCTGCAAACTGCAAGGTCAGCAGTTCAAAACTACCAGCGGTTCCGCAGGAGAAAGATGAGGCTTTCTGCTCCCGTAAAGATTTACAGCCTCGGAAACCCTGTGCAGGGTCACTGTGGGTCAGAACCGACTCCACAGTACTTAACAAAACAACAATGTTGGTTAATGTGCTGGACTGCAAGGTGGGTTTGAACCACACGGTAGTAGGTTAAAGCTCACCAGTTGCTCTTTGGTAACCCTATACAGAGTCGCTGTGAGTCGGAGCCAACTCAACAGCATTTTACAACAACAATATACTGCTTAGACTCCTGGTGTGGCACTGTAGGATTAGCGCTGTTCTGTGAACCACAATGTCAGCAGTTCAAACCCACCAGTGGCTCCTCAGAAATCCTATACAGGGTCACTATGAGTCAGAACCAACTCGAAGGCACTTAATAGCAACAATAACTCAATAACAAAAACAATATACAAGGTTGTGCTATAAGCAATGGACTGCAAAGTCGGTGGTTCAAACCTACCAGTTGCTCCTCAGAAATCTTCTAGAGTTACTATGAGTTGGAACCAACTCAATAGTACTCAACAAGAACAACATATACTGCTTAGGGAGTACAGTGACTCTGTAGGATAAACAATGGACTGTGAACCACAAGGTCGGTGGCTCAAGCCCACCAGCCACTTTAGGGAGAAAGATGAGGCTTTCTGCTTCTACAGAGTTAGTCTCAGAACCCTATACAGGGTCAGTATGAGTTGGAAGTAACTGGATAGCACTGAACAACAACAACATATGCTGCTTGGCTCTTCTTCAGCCTAGATTAACTTTAAACTTGAAGTAATCAGGGATGTTACTAATTGGACTGTCAATATCTTCTCCAGTTTCTCCCAACTTTGTCTTTCAAGGAATTCCTTGGAAAGAACTGGGACGGCTTAACCAGACAGTTCAAAATACACTAGAAATTCAGACACTTTAGGTCCACAGTAGTCATCAATAAAATTTATTGTCACTTGAGAGGAATACTGACCACAAAAATTGATTTTCTGTCAAGCCCACTGCTCTTGAAGTTAAAATCAATGGAAGTCAATATCCACTGAATATTTACTGTCCAATTCCCACCTACTCCAAAATAGAATTTTAACATCACTTTCTACAAGCAGTTATTATGGACTTTGAATAAAAAAGCTCATGTTTAAGTAGTCCAGAAAGTACAACCCAAGTCTGATTTACCTTGTTACTCTGTGAAGTCACGGTCTCAATACTCTGAAGGCTGCCTCACAAAAACTGTTCCCATTTCCTCACCTCTCTATCACAGAAGATGAGGCTTCCTGCTCTTGCAAAGATTTACAGCCTTAGAAACCCTATATGAGGTTGCTATGAGTTGGAACCAACTCAAGGGCATTTGACAACTACATCACATAACTTATATGTTATCACTGAACCATGATCAAAAGGCTGTTTTTGTTTTTAGAAACCAAGGCAGTAAATACAAAAGCCAATAACTCTCACAAAAGGGGACAATGTGGGTCAGGGGAAAAGTCCACTGGAGATTTATGCCAAAGAGTGATCACAGCTTTTTAAAAAAATGGGCTGATGACTACTCAGGGAGGATGAGGCCTTTCCTGTCCTTGATATTCTGAGTTCTTCATCTGTTTAATGAGTGGTGTGGACTAGACTGTGCCAGCAATCTCATGTCCGTCTCAATGCTTCTTTGTTACATCATTTTACTTAGGGATAAAGTTCTACAAGACATGCCTTCAACTACTAATAGCTGAGGAGTAATTACCCATCAATTTTGAACTGCTCAAACCCATCTAGCAAGATATTGACAACCAACAGTCCGCTGAACTGTCAAGAAACCAAAATGGATTAGAATGTCAAATAAAATTAATTTTCAGCTCACTTATTCGCAATCCCAAATCAAGACTTTGAAAATTACCAGCAACTCAGATGTTCCTAATACATCTAACTTCAGGGACTGCATCCTGGAGTAGTGAACCCCCAGCTCCCGGTGGATTCCAGAACATTCGATGCAGGTCAGAATGCCCAGATTTGTGGAAAGCCATGTAGGATCTGCCAGAGAGAATAGGGTAAATCTGAGCTTGCAGGAAGTAGAGGGCCTACGTCAAATGCTTTTTCCTGAATAGTTACTGACTGAGCATGGAATTCCCCAGCATTTTTTGATTCTTGACACAGTTGGAACCTTTCATTCATCCATGATCACCATCAACAGTATGCGTGTCTGTGCTTGTCTAGTCCCCCTATTCTTCCCTATTCCCCCAGTTCCCTATCCTTCCATTCATTTCTTATAGTGTCAGGTAAGGAGTCCAGGTAGTGTTACAGGATAAGCACTGGGCTACTCACTGCAAGGCCAGCAGTTCAAACCTATCAGCAGTTCTGTGGGAGAAATAAGGGGCTTTCTGCTTCTGTAAAGACTAATAGCCTTAGAAACCCTAAAAAGGGTCACAATGGTTCAGATCTGACTCAATGGCAGTGAGTTTTAGTAGTGGTTTTTTGTTTTGTGTTTTTAAGTGCCAGGTACTTTGAGTACAGCGTCCTGGTGTGGCGCTGTGGGTTAATGCACCAGACTGCAAAGTTGTTTGAATTGCAAGGTCGGTGGTTCAAGCTCACCAGCTGCTTCTTGGAAACCCTATACAGGGTCGCTACAGGTTGGAATAGACTTGATGGCACTTGACAACTTTGAGTACAAAAATAAAGAAGACCTAGTCCGTGTACTCTAATGACCATGATCTTCTCATGAGACATAGACCATACCCATCAACGACATGGTCACACCAGTAAAGTGCAGCAAGAGAACAATATGACCCATCAAAGTTAAGAACCATAAGGTAAAGAGATTTAAACCACAGATGTTCATATTTTCACACAGGTAGTAATAATAATAATAATTATAATGAGAGAACATATACTAATTACTTATGAACTCTGAGCTTAACACTTTGGTAGTAGGAATAATAATAGTTTACATGCAAGTGATTCAGAAATTACAAAGCACTTGCACTAAATATCTCATTTGACCTTTACAAGAGCCCCATGAGATGAATAGGACAGGTATTTTTATCCCAATTATACAGAGTTTCTATCTTCACAATGTCCATAAAGGTTAAAAGATCTGCTCAAGGATATAAGTGCGTGGCAGAGTCAGACTGCAGCTATAATCATCTGACTTCAAACCCATGCTTTTCATACATCACAGTGTTTCTCCTCATAGCACGATTACTTGTTCACTGAAGTATTCCTACTGCCTAGCATAGTGCCGGCACATCATAGGTATTCAATAAAACCTTGAGAGAGGAATGCTGAATTTATAAAAAATGAAGAGTTCAAAATAAAACATACTTGCACACAATATCACACCCATTAAGTATTTACCTTGAAAATTGTTTGTTGCCCTTAAGAATGCATAATAGGCAAATATCACAATCTTGGTCACCAGATACTTGTGAGGTTATTAAGCAAATGTCCAAGTTTGAAAACAGTATCATCCATGTTAGGAGATAGTCCTGGGCACCTGTGTTTTCATTTTATTACTTTATTGCACCTTGTTTATAGTTGATGCTCCTTTACATCATCAACTTTTTACATTACTCATATCATCTTTGCTTTTTTTAGCTTAGCATTTAAAAATAACAGTGCACATGGGCTTTGGCTTCTATATAAAAGCATTTTTAAAACCAAAATACTGCACTGTCCTTATTATTCCCTATCTCATCTCTAACCAAAAAGATATTTTGGGATCCAAGACCCAAGATCTCCATCCAGTTGATGGTCCCAAATATAGTCTTCAGAGTAAAAAGAAACTCATGATACTTTAACTACCCACACTACTTTTGCTGTTTGTTTTCTAGGAACATTATAATAGAATTAGAGGAATGAAAAGGTAACTAAGCTACACTCTTTCTTATTGTACTAATGCTCAGAAAAGGCTACTGCATAGTTCCCTGTACCATCCATTAGATCTTAATTAGACATATAAAATTAATTACTTAAGCTTAAAAATTACTAGTTATAAAAATTTACAATAATATTTTATGCTCATTAAAAATGAAGCCCTTTATACACTTCATCAAAAGACAGAAACAAACACCTCATTTCACAGAATGTGACCGCTAGAAGGGACTTAAAATAATCCTACACCAAATCCTTCACTTTGCATAGAGTGAAACTAGCAAAAGTCAGTAACACTTTCAAAGTCACAAAGCTTAAAGTTACTTCTGAAGTTCTACA